CCTGGAGCTCACTCTGTAGACCAGGCTGGCCTCAGAGATCCGCCTGGCTCTGCCTCCCGAGTGCTGGGATTAAAGGTGTGCACCACCACCACCTGGCTAAAATTTTTCTTTGTTTGGGTTCCATTAGTTTTAATTTTTAGAAATCATTTTTGAAACAGGGTCTCATTGTGTAGCCTAAACCATCTGGAAGTTGCAACAATCCTGCCCTAGGCCCTCAAATGCTGTGATTACTGATGGGTGCCCCCATGCCCAGCTTCTCCGTGTAAGATTGTATTTGGGGCCAGGAAGATGGCTCAGTGGGTAACGGCATCTGTGTGCAAGCCTGGTACCCGGAGTTTGATCTCCAGAATCCACACAAGGTGGAAGGAGAGAACAAACTCGTCCTCGGACCTCCACACACATATGGTGCCCCCCCACACACCCACACCATACTAGTAAAAATGTTCTGTTTAATTTGGAGGGGATTATATTTGGTAAGCATGATCTCTGTGGGTAAGGACTGGAAGGTAGAGTGGCCCATGCCCACCTGCAGTTTGGACATGGTCTAGACACAGGAACTCTTGTAAATAACAGAGGAGCACGGCCACGCTGGTACCTACTTCAGAGCGTTTTCATTATCTGATACAAACACCTCTTGTCTGTCTGTCAAGCACTGGTTGCCCAGTCACCCTCACTACTTCCTCTGACGATGCCAGTCTGCTCCTCGACCCCCTGGCTAGCCTAGAGACTTTCTACAAAGGGAATCATACAGCGTGTTTATTTACTTGCCTGCTCACTTGAGATAGGGTAGCCTAGGCTAGCCCTGAACTCAAGATTTAGTGGTCTTGAATTTCTGATCATCCTGTCTTCACCTCCCCTGACTGGAAGTACCAGCTTGTATCACCATCATCATGCCTGTTTTTTGGGGGGGTTTTGTTGTTTGTTTAACATTTTTTGTTTTGTTTTGTTTTTTTGAGACAGGGTTTCTCTGTGTAGCTTTGTGCCTTTCCTGGAGCTCGCTCTGTAGACCAGGCTGGCCTCGAACTCACAGAGATCCGCCTGGCTCTGCCTCCCGATGGCTGGGATTAAAGGCGTGTGCCACCACCGCCCGGCTTGTTTAAGGGTTCTTGTAGCTCAGGCTTGCCTGGAACTCCTGATCCTCCACCTTCTACCTCCACAGTGCTGGTATTACATAAGTCTGCCACCAAGCCAGGTTCTCCTGGAAGGTATCAAACATGTCTAAGCTCTGTATGGAAGAAGTCTGCTCCTGCCTGTCACTGAGACCCAGAGCTAGCAGATCTGGTTACTTTGTAGCATTCCAAGTTTCACCTTGCGCATGCACCAATTACTATGGGCAGTACAGAGAGGAATCCAGAGACTGAGGTGCAATGTTTCCTATCCACAGTAGGTGGCGCCATTGACCCGTCTAATTTTCCCTCTCTCTTAGGCCGTTGATCTGGTCTCCCTGCAGATTTGGACCACCACCTGCTCAGTCCAGCTCAGCCATGGAGTTCCTGCCCAGACAGGCCCACCCCTGCCGGCTCCCTGCCGGCTTCCCTGCAATAAAGTCAAGCTGCATTTGTTGAAGAAATGTCTGTTGTGTGTTCTTGGTACTGCTTGCTCGCCTACAAGCTGCTGTTGTGTTTGCCTAGGTTGTTAGAGGCTCCCATTCGAGGTCCGGTGTCCATTCTCTGCTCTGTGATCTTGAGCAGCCCAGTGCCCTCTCTGGGCCTCTCTGTAATGTCATTGGGCCAGATCAGTGATTTTCCTTTCTTCTCACTATGGAGACTCCATACTTGAAAAGCTATTAGGTGACTTGCATTTAAGAAGCGAGACTGTGAAGCAGTTGGATGGGAAGCCACTGAAGAACGGCTGCCCCGTAGGGTTTGGCTCCAGCGCCTCCCTGCCGGGCTGCTTACCCTCTCAGTGCTCACGGCCTGGGAGAGAACAGCGCCTTCCGCAAATGTCTGTGATGGTGGCAGTTACAAAGTGAACCAGTGAGAGTGTGTGAACTATTTGGAGTAGAGAAATCCTGTAGCAAGCATCCACTACTCACAAGCTTTTACATATTTCGTGCATCAGGGAGGGAGACATGGCAAATCCTTCCCCTCAAAGGGCACCACCTCCACAGAGCTGCTTGGCAAAGCAAGACAGTGTTTTCGTTTGTGTAGCTTTAAAAAAAAAGTGTTTTAGGGGTTATATTGCTGCCAAGCAGGGGACCAGAGAGATACCACGATGGACCCCAAACCATGCAGGTCACACTTGGTGTCTGAGATGTCCTCGAACATAAGCAAAACAGATTTCAGACTATGGGGAGAATTAGTGATCTGGACAAAGTCATTACCTCATGACCCAGGCCCAGATGGGAGAGCTGGGAAGAGGAAACCACACCTCACCACCACCCCCCCCCCAAAAAAAGTGGCATCTTTTGCCAGCCTACACTGACCAGAATTCCATTTTTCCCAAGCCAGAAGAAAACTAACCGGCTCTCTGCAAGTGACCGATGTGCACAGGCAGGTTTATTACGTGTTTGTTCACTTGTTTTAGGCAGGACATTAGTCCTGTAACTCAGAAAAGCACCTTCCTCTGCCTCCCAAGTGATTGGATTAATGGCATGCACCACTATGCCCAACCTTAAGATTTATTTTAGTTTGAGTATGTATGTATCTGTGAGTATATGCCATGTGTATGCAGGTACCTGAGGACACCCGAAGAGGACATTGGATCTCTTGGAGTTACAGGCAGTTGTGAGATCCCTTAGGTGGGTAAAGGGAACTGAAGGTGGATCCCCTGGCATTTAATGAGTACTATACTGCTGGACCTGGCACAAGATTAGCTCTGCCCTCGGCCAACCATAACCTTGGACTAGTCAGGTAATCTCTCCCAGAGGAAGTTTCTTCATCGGGACAGAACTGAGGCATCCTTTCACTTTGAGCAGAGGTGGTAGCATCATGTGAAGGGACATCCCTGTGACACAGCACTCAGACAGTGAAGGATCAGGAGTGCAAGGCCAGCTTCAGGTACATAGAGAGTTTTAGGCTAGCTAGAGCTGCATAAAATCACATCCTCAATCAACTGCCTACCAACCAAGCCTTTGTGGTCCCTTAGGGCCTAAGGGCTTCTTCCCAAGCCTCCTGGTATGTGTTTTTTGGCCACTAGAGGGCAGTGTGCTTCGGATTTGGTCATCTTGAAGGACAAAGCAAAGAGCCTCAGCTGAATGTACTGATTCCAACTGGAACAGAAGAGGCAAAGGTGCCTCCAAGGAGCCCTTAGCCCTAAAAGGCACCACTATCTCAAGCCTTGGGTGTTTCCAATGGGCTAGGCAGACTGGACCAGCTCACCTCAAAAGGGAAGCCATCCCCAAGCTTGATGTCTGGTATCTTCCTCAATTCTCATCTGAGACATGGTCTCTCACTGAACCTTGAGTTTGACTACTCCAGCTAGAATGTCTAGCCAGTGAGTCCCAGTGATCCATCCCCCTTGCCAAGGCCAAGTCTTTGATTTGGTTTGGTATTATAGGACCAGCCTTAGTAATATTCTTCTCAGGGGGCCCAGGAGAGAAACTACCAGTGGCAAGAATTATTTTTTCAGGCAAAGAATCGAAGTACATCAAGCTCTTTTGTCCTTTTACTTTATTTCTCTAAGACAAAATTCTGTCTACCCAGCTTCAGTTCCGTCCTGACATTCAGATCCTCTCTCTGCCTACTTTTTCTGTCCCCTCATAGCCCTTAGTAATCACCAAGCCTTGTGCTTTTGGTCTTGTCTTCATCCTCTGTTCCCTCACCCTCCATCTATCCTTCCTAGCTTCTTACTCCTGGCCCTGATAAACTCTACAAGAGATCTGCCTTACCATCTACAGAATCTCTGCCTTTTTTCTCTGGCCATGCGGCTCTGTCTACCCTCTACAGAAAAACTGCCTTGTTCTTCTCCTTGCCATGTGACTCTCTGCCCCCAGGAATTGTGCCTCACTCTTCACTCCACCTGGAGTGAAGAGTCAATAGCTCTGGAATGCCACTAGGCCTGAAGGCAAGGGATGGTCTGAGCTTCGTGTGCACAAGAAGCAAAGCTATGCATCTACAGCCTGCTTGTCTCCTAGGCTCAGTGGGGAAGCTAACTACCTGGAGGATCAGCAGGTGTGAAGCTGAACTGTTTGCCAAATGTTCTAATAGTATATAGGCCCACAAGAATTTCATAGCGGAAGACAGCTGAAATATTAAAAACTGAATAACACCAAATATTCCATGATAGATGGCTTTCTCTAGAAAAATGCCTTGAGATTTCTAGATATAGCTTTAATACACAGCTGAATCTCTATAATATATTCTTGCGGCCTGCAAGAGTTTTTTGTTTTGTTTTGTTTTTTGTTTGTTTTTTTTCTTTTTGAGATAGGGTGTTACTAGGCAGATGTTCTCAAACATCCCAGTTGCTGTTGTTTAAGATTTATTTTATTTTTAAGTGTGTGTGTATATATGTATGTCTGTCTGTCTGTGGATATATGCCTTGAGTTCAAGTCACCTTGGAAGCCAGAAGCGTTGGGTCCCTATGGAGCTGGAGTTACAGGCAGTTGTGAGTCACCTTTTGTGGGTGCTGGGAATTGAACTCAGGTCCTTTGAAAGAGCAATGTGATCCCTTACCCTCTGAGTCATCCCCTCAGCCCTATTTATTTTGTTTTTGAGACATGGTCAAGGAGCACAGAAAGTAGTCAAGGATGGCCTTGAATTTCTGGACCTCCTGCCTCCACCTCCCAGATAGCAAGCATGCACCACCAAACCTAGAACTTTGTGCATGCCAACCTAGCCCCAGCCCGGCCCAGTTTCCAGTTTTTCAAGCTGCTCACCGTTGCCACCAAGTTTCCCCAAGGGCATCAGGAGACTCATGTAGAATAGACCCTCTGGGGCTGGAGAGATGGCTCAGAGGTTAAGACCACTGCCTGCTCTTCCAGAGGTCCTGAGTTCAATTCCCAGCAACCACATGGTGGTTCACAACCATCTAGAGTGGGATCTGATACCTTCTTCTGGCATAAAGGCATACATGAAGATAGAGCACTCATACATAAAATAAATAAATGAATCTTTTAAAAAATATAGAATAGACCCTTCCAATTTGATCCACCCAAAACATGCAAGATAAAGAAGCTTGACTTGGTTGTTTTGTTGATCTTGACCACCAAACCAGGGCCTTGAAGATGCTAGACAAGCACTTTATCACTGAACTGTTTGTGCATATGCGTGTATTGCTTATACATGCAGCTATGCATGCCTGTGAGTGTATGAGGAGTCCAGAGGAGGACATCATGTGTCCTGCTTTATCACTCGATGCTCTATTCCCTTGAGACAGAGTCTCTCACTGATTCTAGAGCAAGCCCAGCAGCCAGCAAGCCCGAACCACCCTGTCTGCCCATCCCATAGCACTAAGGTTACAGCTGCATGCAGCCACACCTGGCTTTTGGTATGGCTGCTGGGATCCGAACTCAGGTCCTCATGTTTATGTAGCAAGCGCTCTTACCCATGGAACCGTCTCTCCAGCCCCAACTGTTTGCTTTTTAAGGAAGAATCTCACTGTGTAGCCCAGGCTGGCCGCCCCCCCAACTCAAGATTCTCCTCAACCTCCCCGGTGCTGGGATTATCGAAGGGTGCCACTGCACCCAGCTTTGATTCGGTTTTATGGATTGGTTTTCCTCCTGCAGCCAGCGTGTTCTGGTCTTCAGTATTCACATCCTTCCCCTGCTACGGGGTAGCTGTGGCTGGTGGAGGGTGATGGCTTCTTCTGTGACACTGTTTCCGCATCTGTACCATGGGGCTCACCACCGTAGCTCCTGCGACAGTGATGACTTCTCACGATTCTTTATGATGTCAGTTCCACAAGGAGAACGCTGTCTTTCAGTTGGAAAACTGAAGGTTGATAATGAGAGAGAGAGACTACGAAAATGAAACACTGGAGCCTGGAGGGTTGTCCCTGTGCCATGTGGGAGGGGGTCGGTCATTTGGGCCACCGCCCTCTTCATGACATCTCCTTTAATTAGCGCCTATCTTCTACACAGTTCAAGTCTGTTATTTCTTGGGAGTGTCCATCGGGGCTGCTTTTAGAATTCTGTGTTTTAGGGTGGCTGTGTTCACTTAATTTAGGTAAGTGACTGAAGTTTCCTTAATCTGTTGGTTTAAACTTTCTCTATCATCAGCGTGTGCGTGTGTGTGTGTGTGTGTGTGTGTGTGTGTGTGTGTGTGTGTGT